CTCTGCAGCGCGCAGTGCGCCTGCGCGCGCCGGCCGCGGCCAGGGGCACGACGGGAGCGGCAGTCCGAGCCCGGACCCCAGCGCGACCGCAGGGCGGAGAACGAGTTGTTGGCGTCTGGGGCGGGCATCGCCGTATCCTTAGAACCCCAGGAGCTACCTCATTAAAGACCTGTCCTGAAAGCATCAGTTACAACTCCCTTAGACCCAGATTTCCCAATACCTTCTACCTAGACATGACCCACGTTGTAATTTTTACGTATAGGTCTTTGGAAAAAGTGTCTTCAGACTGTATCTTCCCCTTCCTCCTTGTTCCTGCCCTTTCATTTTACTCTTTGAGACAAAGACTTACTATGTTTTTCAGGCTGGCCAACAAGTCACTGTGTAGCCCAGGCTGGTCTTGAACTCACACGGTAACCCTCCTGCCTCAGCCTCCTGAGTCCTGGGATCACATGTGACAGGCGTGTGTCACCACACCCGGCTATGTTCCAGTCCTTTTAAAACTTACTATATCCACTCGGTATCCAGATTTAAAATGCTATTAAAGAAAATATCTTTTAACTTTGGAGCTAGAGAAAACAATGCATTTTTTTTCACATCATTCCCATTTTACTGAATTTACTGGCACTAGATTTTGTATTGGTGCATATTAGTACAGAATGAGATTCATAATGGTATACTGGCACATGCATATAAGATGCATTGACTATTTTCATCCCCATAACCCCCTATCTCCTTTTTGAGACTCAGCCTCTTGTGTGCTGGGATCACAGATGTGTGGCCCAGCACCCAGGGCTTAGTGCTTAATTAATGCATGGAGGTATTATAATTTTTTTATTTGAAAATTTCCTGTAACTTTCATCAAAACTCCTAAATTTCAGAAACAGCCCCGCCGCCTTTTTTTTGGTACCAGGAATCACACGTAGGATCTTGTGCTTCCCAGACAGGCGCTTGTCCCACTGAGCTATATCCCCAGCCAAAATATTTTTTCGTTTTGGTCCTGGGAATCACTCAAGACCTTGCACTTGCCAGGCAGGAGCTGTGCTGCTGAGCTATATCCCTGGCCCTAGCCCCTAGCTTTGCCTGGGTCCTTCCTCTTCACAAGTGGGAAGTGTAAAATGAACTTGGAAATCTTTTTATCACATTGTAGTCTATTTAAAAAAAAAAAAAAAAAAAAGCTGGGCGTGGTGGTGCACACCTGTAATCCCAGCACTTGGGAGGCTGAGGCAGGAAGATCACTGCGAGTTCGAGAGCAGCCTGGGCTACAAAGTGAGCTCAAGGCCAGCGTGAACTGCATGGCGAGACCCTGTCTCAAAAAGACACACAAAAAAAACCAAACCTGGTAAAATGAAGAAAATTTACCACTTAAGAGGTAAATCTGTGACCAGGGGTTAGTTCAGCGGCAGAGCTGCTTGCTTAGATGCCCAAGGCTATGGATTCTATCTCCAGCACCAGAAGGAAAAATTCAAGCTTGATTCTTGTTTTGTTTGTTTGAGACAGGGTCTCGCCAGTAATGACCCACCTCTGTAATCTCAGCAACTGGAAGGCTGAGGCAGGAGGATCTCAAGGGTGAGCTCAGCATGGGTAATTTAGCAAGACCCTGCCTCAAAATAAAAAATGGCTGTTGATATAGTTCATGTGGAAGGCCCTGGGTTCAATCCTCAGCCTCCTCCCAATAAATAAATATTGCTTGACAATAAACAAATAGCTCATTTTGCTTTTTTTTTTTTTTTTTTTTGTCTTTTTGAGAGAGGGTCTCACTATGCTCCTCAGGCTGGCCTTGAGCTCACTTTGTAGCCCAGTCTGGTCTTGAACTCACAAGGATCCTCCCGCCTCAGCCTCCCGAGTGCTGGGATTACAGGTGTTCGCCATCACATCTGGCCTCATTTTGCCAGTCTTACAATTTATTTGAAAACCTTTAGTCTTCTGTTAATGATGAGCCAAGCCCAAAAGTTTTGTTTTGCTTTCTCAGCAGTGAACAACTGTCCTCAACTTTCCTGCTTGTATACTGATTCATCAGAGTCTAAGAGAAACCTGTCTACTCATTTCCAGGGCAAGGGCACGTAAATCGTATTTGTGCTGATTTACAGTACATCTGCTTCTGAAGCCTAAAATTCTGATGTTGCAGAAGATTGTAGAATAAGAATACTGTCTCCATAAAGCAATTCTAAAATCAGCAGCACGAAAAACATTCAAACCCAATTCAAAAGCCAGAAATAAGAAAACTGGGAAATAATGAATTAAGCTGACAAGAAGAATAAGCAAACTACTGTTCTTTCAACGCCTGTACACAATGTTTTACCTCACCATCACTCTAATTTGAAGTGATTAAGAATTGGGCCAGGTGTGGTGGTCCAGAGGCTGAGGCAGGAGGATTGCTGTGAGTTCGAAACCAGCCTGGGCTACATAATAAGACCCTGTCTCAAAAAAAAAAAAAAAAAAAAAAGGCCTACCTCAACAGTAGCTGGAAAAACAAAAATTCCTGGTTGAATCTCTCATGCCTCATCATGGCGTGTTCCACATAGTAACTACCTGCTAAAGGTAGGTGTATGTGGGAAGACAACTGGACAAAAAACTAAGTCTGGTAATATTTCCAGAGGGTCCGTACATAAGCTTTAAGGTGTAAATATTCACAACTGGACAAATCCTATAGGTACATTATGAAGATCCGCCACCAAACTGTCAATTTCAGAGCTGGAAGAAAACTTAGAAAATAGAGGAGATGGAACACAACTGTAAGCCCAGCTGAGGCTGAGGCAGGATTGCTGTGGGTCTGAGGCCAGCCTGAACTACATAGCGAGACTCAAAAAAAGCCAGGCAAAGTGGCACATGCCTGTAAATCCTAGAATCACCTTGAGTTCAAGGCCAGCCTGGGATACACAGTGAATTGGAGGTCAGCCTGAATTACAGAGCTAGACTCTTTATTTTTTTGGTCTTTTTGAGACAGGGTCTCACTATGCAGTTCAAGCTGGCCTTGAGCTCACTTTGTAGCCCAGGCTGGCCTCAAACTTGCAACGATCCTCCTGCCTCAGCCTCCTCAGTGCTGCAATTACAGGCGTGTGCCACCATGCCCAGCTAAGAGTCTGTCTTTTAAAAAAAAGGGAAAGAAAATGGAGGGAAAGGGGGACCAAAGAGGTTTTAGTAACATCATCAAAGTACACAGAGGGGAGAGTGGTACTAGTTTTTTCACTTCCAACATCCTAAATATGTCTATTATTTTTCAAGCACCTCTTCTAATTTGAGTGGAAAGGGGCATTTGTTTTGTCTCCCCTTTTCTTCCCCCCATCCCTCCCGGAACAGCTCTACTCCTACTGAAGTGGCAATTGAAGTTTTTCTTCCAAGTAGTCTTGTTACAACTCCTAGGTGTACTCTCCTCTCTCATCTTACTCGGCTTAAGAAACCAAAATTATCAATTCTTTCCTTCCACAACACACAAAATGAGAACTCTTTCGAGTTATTTCATCTTTAATAACCAGGCAATAATTCAAAATATAAAGTCAAACTTGTTTTCTTTAGTGGGGATGCCACCATGACTGCCTCACACAGTATTTTCAAAGGCGATGAACAGACGCGAGTCCAAAGACCCTAAGTTGTAAGAAGGCTTCTAGGCTCACGGACTGATGTCTGGTCAGGCAGTCTCCGCAGGGCAGCGGAGGTCGACGAGACAGGAGACAGAAGCCTCAGAGGACCTGGCGCGGCTGCTGGGTCATGAGCACCTTGAAGCGCTTCTTGATAGTGATTCGATGTCGCGAGTATTTGTCATCCGGGGAGAACCGCGCAGGATGGGCTGAGCAAGTCTGTTGTCCCATCGGGTCAAATTTCTGCTCGAGGAAGAAAATGATCTCAGTACAAAAGCGCTGAAATAGGGGGGAGGCGACAGCACGAAAAAGGGCAAGGGTGAAGACCAGAGACTCGGCCGGGTGTGCTGGCGCACGCCTGTAACCCCAGCACTCAGGAGGCTGGGGCAGGAGGATCGCTGCGAGTTCGAAACCAGCCTGGACTACAAAGTAAGCTCAAGGCCATCCTGAACTGCACAGCGGGACCCTGTCTCAGAAAGACAAAACAAAAAACCAAAACCAAACAAGCAAAAAGCAAAGACAAGAGAGGCGATGGTCAGGCCAAGAAGAGCACCGCTGGCTCTGCCGCGCCTCCCTTCCAGGCTTCCGGGTTCCCGCACTCCGCGAGGCGACTCGCCAGCGCGGCTCCAGCACTCCGCCCACCAACATTCCTCGCCATGCACGTTTACTACTTGTTTCCTCTTCTCACCTTCAGCGTATACACCCGATCTCCCTGCTCGTTCAAGTAATACTGGAGAAACATGACCAAGCCGCCCTATGCGCCCTGCAACGCTGCCGCCGCTTCGGCAAGACTGTTTCTCAACTTCCTTCCGGTGCAACGGAAGTCTGTCCTGAGGCATGCCGGGAAATGTAGTTTGGTTTTAGAGTCAGCTGACCAGAAGGGGGCGCACTAGTGCAGGACTTGGCTTGGGGCAACTTGCAAATTTGCAGGCGTTGGGGCAAGTTGCAACCTTGCAGGTGCTCTGAAGACCCATGGAGTGTGCCCATTGTGTGCCCAGGCAGCGCTACGTCTTGAGGGGTTCGGGGGCTTAAGGATGGACGAGGATTGAACACTGATATGTACAGTGTTGCCTTGAACCCAAGATGCACACCCATTTCCGAAGTGGTAACGTTCTAGTGCTCCGGGATTCAAAAATCCTTGCACCCTAGGAAAGATTTTCCTCCTCCCCACTTTTACATCCGGTCTCCCGCCCCATTTCAAAGTATTGGCGGCAAAGAGTGCCTGATGGGTAGTGGACATTCTGCAAAGTGAGCAGAGCGTTATTTTACGAAACGGAGCAAGTGTGTTCCAGTGGTCGAACTAAGATTTAAAGTCGGGCCTCTTAACGGCAATGCCCGCGCTCGTACCGCGGTGAGTAACAACTAATAGCATGATAAGGTGCCCCTTCTAGAGTATTTAGAAGTTTTAAAAGAACGTAGATATTTTGTTTAGAGTTTAAAGAAATGAAAATGGAACTAAGATAGTACAAAGATGGTGGTCGTTGTAGCACTATTTATAGGGGTAAAACATTGCAACATACATTAATTTTGAAAACAGAAAAATCTGAAAGTTTTTTTTTTAAATATCATTTGTATTTGTAGTTGCATAAAATATATCTGCAAAGATTCACAAGAAACATGAAATTGGTTTTCTCTGGGAGAGAGACTTTGGTTGCAGGGGAAACGGGTGGAAGGAATATTTATTGCTGTATGTTCTATTTTGCACAATTTGACTTTTGAACCATGCTCATGTACGGTTAAAAATTTTAAAAACCAACAAAGCAAGTTGACAAAGAGAAGGACTTTCTGGCCTAGAAATTTTAGACTGCATGGCAGGGTTTTTTTTGTTTGGTTGGTTAGGCTTGGCTTGGTTTGGTTCAGTTTGGTTTGGTTTGGCTTGGCTTGGCTTGGCTTAGTTTGGTTCGGATGGTTTGGTTTGCTTTTTAGTAGGCTTTTTCAGCAAAGCGCAAGGCTGTGGCTTGAGTGGACTGCAGGGCTTATGGCAATGGCCTGCTTGGGGCCTGTGGGGCAGTTTTCCAAGGAGTAGATGCGCACACAGAGGTTGAACACCCTAGGTTGTCTAAGACAATTCTAATTTTAAGCTTTTGGTTCCCTCAACTCTTAGCTAGACAGGCTGTGTCATCTGAATGTGGTTGGAAAACATAGCTGTAGTTAAATTAAGCCAAATGCGTGCCACCAATGTGTTATTAGGAAGCCAGTTACAGAGCTGGGTGGGATTGAAGAGCACAAGATTAGTTATGTTGGTGAAGAATTGAAGATTAGGGAGCCAAAAGGTAAAACGATAGTGTAATGTTTGGAGTCTGAGAAAGGATTTACAAATTGCTGTAGAAAGGAGCACATCATTTGTATTACCGAACTGCAGTTGGGGGGAATTCCTGTTTTTGTTGTTTTGTTTTTGTGTGGTGGTGGTGGTGGTTGGTGTATAGAGGACTAAAACCAGGGCCTTAAAAAAAAAAACAAAAAAACAAAAAAAACAAACCAGGCCCTTCACATTGATCTATGTACCCAGTCTTTGTTTGTTTGTTTATTTAGTTTTTTGAGACAGGGTCTCATATGTAATAGCCCAGACTGGCCTCGAATTTGCAGCAATCCTCCTGCCTTAGCCTCCCAAGTACTAGGATTACTGGCTTGTGCCACCTTGGCCTGGTTTAATTTTTTATTTTGAGCCAGGGTCTCACTAAGTCGCTAAATTGTTCAGGCTGGACTCAAACTTCTGATCTTCCTCACAGTGATCTTCCTGCCTCAGCCTCCCAGAGTGTATGTCACCACGCCTGGCAACCCCTGGTTTTGGTCTACTTACTAGAATCTTGGATGGAGTAGTGCCCCACTCTCACCCCCTCTCTCTCCCCTCCCCCACAACAGAATGTTGGAATCCGAGGTTCCAGTTCTGCCGTGATCCAATCTTTGCCCTCCTTTCCTTGGATACCTGTGCAACTGCTGCATCCAGTTCGTTTTCTGGATCCTGGACCTGCCTGGCTCATTCTGGAGGCTTCCAGATGGAGGAGATGGCTTCCGACCGAGGTAGGTCTGCAAGTGTGGCAGGGGAGGGCCCTGGCACCTTCTCATGTCTGTGGGGATTCCCATTTGCCTTCTCATCCTGGGGCGAGCTCTTGGGGCTGGCATAGAGGAATATGAGAAGCAGGTCCTCAGCAGGAGTATCCTACCTGGGGAGGTGGGGAGGTTCACTGTGAAGGGTGAGGAAGAGCACTTCCTTGGAGCACATCAGGGCACCGCGGGAAAACACGCTGAGAATAAGGAATGGGTGGCAGGTAGCAACCTGGGTCCCTGGAGAAGGTTCTAGGGGTGTCTGTGTGTGCAGGAAAGCTCAAGGAGAGGCCCATACTCCCACAGTCCTGTGTCTTCTTTGAGTAGTGGGAGCCTCTAGGCTTTTGACCTGAACTGGATCTTCTCTTAATCTTTTGAGGGGAAGGGGCCCAGAGTGGTGCTGCACGCCTGTAATCCCAGTGCTCAGGAGGCTGAGGCAGGAGGATCACTGTGAGTTTGAGGCCAGCCTGGGCTATTTAAGTGAGTTCAAGGCCAGCCTGCACTACATATTGAGACCCTGTCTCAAAAAAAATAAAGTCTTATGAGGGGAAGAGGCGGGTGAGGAATGAGGAAGTGGGGATTAAGGCAGGGGCAGTCTCAGCACTAAAGTGTTTAGTGAGGTTATCTGTGTAGGGACATGTCCTCCCAGCGGCAAGGCTAACTGTCCCTGCTCAGATCTTCCTGCCTCAGCCTCCCAGAATGCTTGGATTATAGGCTCACACCTCCTTCCAACCACAAAGGGGCTTCTCTCTCAGTTAGTGAGTAGTTTTGCTTGATCTGCTAGGCTGGGGAAGATGGGCCACTCTGGCCAGGATGGCAGCTGGGGTTTCCCTGCCATATGCTCCATTTTTCTCCATTTTTCTCCATTTTGTGGGTTCGAGGCCTGAGACCTATTTCATTGTGCTCGGGACTTGGTGGCACATCCTGGCCTCTGCGCTGTGGTTGCAATGAGTGTGAATTTGAGTGCCTCATACTCTGTGTGTCCTGTACAGTCAGGGGGCAGAGGCTAAGTGCTGCTGGCTCATTAGTGGGCTATGTGTGAGAGGTATAGGAGAGTGGCGTGGAAGTAGGCAGATTATACCAGTTGTGGTGGCGCACTCCTGTAACCCCAGCACTTGGGAGGCTGAGGCGGGAAGATCACTGTGAGTTCAAGGCCAGCCTGGGCTACAAAATGAGTTCAAGGCCATCCTGAACTGCAGAGACCCTGTCTCAAAAAAAAAAAAAAAAAAGGCAGACTAGGTGCCATTATTATTAAAATCCTGCGAGACACAGGTCCTGATTTTTTGTTTGTTTGTTTGCTTGTTGAGATAGGGTTACACTATGTAATTCAGACTGGCCTTGAACTCACTTTGTAGCCCAGGCTGGCCTTGAACTCACTATATAGCCCAGGCTGGCCTTGAACTCACAGCGATCCTCCTGCCTCAGCCTCTCAGATGTGCTGGGGTTACAGGTGTGTGTCACTACACGGGTTTGTGCCCCGTACCTGGCCCTGATTCACTGTTTGTGTGCTTATCCCTGGTCTCCCTGACTAGAGTTCACACAGCTCCTCCTCAGCAGGGACTGTGCTCTACGTTTCCTCGTCCTTTCCCCAGCACCAGCTCAGTGACTTGTTCCCGCTGTGCCTCAAGTATCTGCGGTTTGCAGCTCCAAGCAGAAGGGCCACAGATGGTTTGCATCACCAAACTTTTAACACATCCAGCAGTTACCTCAACTTCTGGAGACCTCCCTGCTCTCACCACCCTTTCCTCCCCATTTTTTTGGTCCTTACCTAATCCTCTGTAGTTATTCCTGGCTGTTATACGTTATTTCTGGAAACCAGACATCCAGGCACATATCCTTTCCTGAGAACTGTGCTTCTGTGCATGGCAGAGGGGCCCCAGCAGCCGGGGTCAGGTGCTGTGAACCTCCTGTGTAGAGTGTGTAGGGAGAGGAGAGGTACATGTATGCTGTGTAGGATGTGTTTTAGGGTAGGAGCTTCATGGGTCCCAGAGTTGTGGCTCCTATTCATAGGTGGCATCTGTCTGACTCACTTTCCCACCCCGGGACTCAGTGCCTGACACCTACAACTTAAAGGAGGACGGGTTTGCACGGCTCACGCTTCCCAGCGGGCTCAGTCTAAAGTTGGCTGGCTCCGAGACAGAACTGCATGGCAGGAGGGCCTGGCGGAGGGAAGCTGCTCATCCCATGGCAGCCCGGAAGCAGGGGAGAGAAGGAACCACGCACAGAAATGCACCCTTTCAGCCAAGCATGGTGGCGTACGCCTGTAATCCCACCACTCAGGAAGCTGAGGCAGAAGGATCGCTGTGAGTTCGAAGCCATCCTGGGCTACATAATGAGTTCAAGGTTAGCCTATACTATATCATGAGACCTTGCCTCCAAAACAAACAAGTAAAAACAAAACCAAAATGCCCTTCCAAATAAGATGTGTTAAATACACATACCAACTCCCCCACAATGAATGAAATCAGTATGTACTACAAACATGTACTAATAAAAATAGAATTATAAACTCCTCCTCCCCAAATACCCTTCCAGGACACCCCGGGACCCCCCTCCAGCCAAGCCCCGCCTCCCAGCAGCACAGTCTTCTCCTTAACTCGGGGGTGGATGAAGCCACAGGTGCTACAGCACCCATGATCCAGGCCCCTTCTGCACGTGAGAGGCTGAGGGGCCGTGACAGCCTGTTGTAAATGTTGTTTTATATTAGCAAAGAAAAATTGGGGGCTGGGGATTTAGCTCAGCGGCACAGTGCCTGACTGGCAAGTGCAAGGTTGTGAGTTTAATTCCCGGTCCCGGAATGAAAAAAAAGAAAAAAGAAAAATTATATGGAGTATAGGCAAAGGAGGAGAGGCTGGACCACTAGTCTTCCTGAAACTCTCTCCTCCTCCAGGGCCCTGTGGGTGCTTCGAAAGGGGCTACAGCTTTTCCTGAGCTGACTCTCTCACTGCTCGGCGGTGCTGTGGGCTGTTTTCCTTGCAGAGCAGGTGTCAACATGTTCCATGTCCTATAAACAGTCTGTGGGTCTGGCGAAGGAGCGCTGCCAGGAAGTTCTCAGAGAAGCTCTTACAGATGGTGACAGCTTGGGCCTATGCCTGTCAAAGTCTCTGTCTTGACTTTGCCGATGACTTTGTGAGCCCTATTCCCGCTAGGGTCGTGGGATACAGTTGTCTTTGTGTCTCATTGAAAGCTCACTAACTTCTCTAGTGTAGTAATTTTTTTTTTTGTCTTTTTGAGACAGGGTCTCGCTATGTAGTTCAGGCTGGCCTTGAGCTCACTTTGTAGCCCAGGCTGGTCTCAACTCGCAAAGATCGTCCTGCCTCAGCCTCCCGAGTGCTGGGATTACAGGCATGTGCCACCACGCCTAGCCAATAGTGCAGTAATTTTTAATCGGGAGCAAGAGACATCAAAATCTCTTGGGTGCACCCCTGTGTGTGGTACTGCGGTAATCCTAGCACTCACGAGGCTGAGGCAGGAGGATTGTGAATTCGAGGCCACCCAGGCCTACACAGTGAGATCTAGTCTCAAAAAATCCACTTGGTGGCACTCGGGAGGAGGCTGACGCAGGAGGATTGCCACAAGTTCAAGGTCAGTCTGGGCTACATGGTGAGTTCAAAGCTAGCATGAACTCCATAGCGGGACCCTGTCTCAAAACTCAAAAACCAAAACCAACCAAACAAACAAGTGTCCACCCACTTGGGAGACATTTATAACCTACACAAGCTCCCCATCCATAGCTGCTCCTTCACCTGCTGAGAATCAGTGCTTTGTTCTTTAGGGGCTTTAGAGGAACTCAGCCACCTAACAGGCCCGTTCTCTCCTTTTGTCTCAACAGCATCCCCGCTGCTGGGACTGGATGGGGACCTGATAGCTGGTGCCTTCTCCACCATCCCCTTCACCCTGCCAACTCCGGGGGCACTGGAGCAACCAGCGCAGGAGCCACCTGCACAGCCCCCGGTGCCCCTGGCGTTCTCTCCAGGAGACTCTCTGGTGCTCTCTGCGTTCCCCAGCCCACTGCTTGTGACAGGGGATGGGGGCCCTGGCCCCGGTGGGGTGGGGGCCTGCAAGGTCATTGTCAAGGTCAAGACAGAAGCCGGGCCAGCTGAGCCCTTTCAGACTCAGAACTTGGTTGTCACTCAGCCGGCCTTCAGTTGGGTCACCTCAGGTGCTGCCTGCGGGGGCTCCGAGGCTTCTGCTCCTCAGTACGTGAGCGCCTCGACTGTGAACGCCATTCTGCCCACTTCCACGGTTTCTGTCAGCCAGGAGGGCCCCTCCAACCGTCTTCCTCCGACTCTACTACCATCTACCCCACTGGCCGCCATCGTGTCCACAGAAAAGCTTTGGCCAGGGCCACAGGGGGCTGCCGGACAGCCCTCAGTGGGTGAACTTGCCCATGTTTCCAAAGGTGTTTATGAGAACTTCCGGCGCTGGCAGTGCTACAAGGCCTTGGCCTGGAGACACCTGTCCCAAAGCCCTGATGCGGAAGCTTTTTCCTGCTTTCTCATGTAAGTGGGGGCGCTGAGGTAGATGATCCTAGAACGGGAAGAGAACTTTGGGGTGGATACTAGAGCTTAGCTGCCCCCAAGGGCAGGTCATAAAGGTGAAGAGATGCTGTAAGGAGGAAAAACATAACAATCACCTCTTTATCCTCTTTCTACTTCATATCAAGCTTCCAGGTGTCATCTTCCAAGGGATCTCACAACCCTGTGAGTTTGGGCAAGCTGTTTTTTATGAAAGTCTTCTTTCACAGATGAGAGGACTGAAGTTCAGCGGGCTTCCTGCCTTAAAGCAAGGAGCAGTAGGGGCAGGGGATATAGCTCAGTGGCACAAGCGCCTGCCTGGCGAGCACAAGGTCCTAAGCTTGATTCCCAGTACCAAAAAAGAAAAGCAATGAGCAGTGATTCGAACCTAGGCCTCTGGACTCCAAGTGTCAGGGTCCTCCCGGTCTGTGCCACTGCCCTGTGACACTAGCATGAGGGTTTCCTATGTACCGCCTCTCCACACTGAACTTGGAAGTCAGGGTGGAATAGGGAAAGCATGGAGCTTGCCGGGCTCCTCCACTCACTAGATTTGTGAAGCTGGGTGGAAATTTAGCACCTTTGTCATCAGTTTTCTCATCTAAAAAGGGGATAATTATCTGAGGGTTGCTGGAAAGATTAGAAGTGCTTGGCAAGGTGCCTGGCATAGAGAATGCATCATTAAATAGTAACTATTTTTTTATTGTTATAAAAACGTCATCCAAAGGAGGAAAAGAGATCACAAAAGGCCAAAATGGCCTTGGTTAAGAGTGTATATTTAATCTAGGAGCCTGGGGTCAGAGGCTGTTTTGTTTATAAAGCCATCATTAGTCATATGGGAAATTTTCTCTCCTTCCCAACCAGACCAGTTGTCTCAGCTGCATTTTTCCCTGAACATTTTACACAAACCACTGCATGTCACATACTCCACTTCAGCAGACTATGAGAGACCTTGGTTTTTTGTTTTTGTTTTTGGTGCTGGGGATACAACCCAGGGCCTTGAGCATACAAGGCAAGAGCTCTACCACTGAGCCACATCCCAGCCCAATTTGGAGAGACCTTGTGTGTTGCTCCTCCTGGAGGAGGAGTATAGAATAGATCAGAGAATAAAAATACCATACATCTTTAATTGTAGATTCATTAGGGTTATGAACATCTTTTAAAATGTAAGAAGAGGGGCTGGGGATTTAGCTGAGCAGCGTGAGTTTGATTCCCTGTGCCAAAAAGAAAAAAAAAAAAATGTAAGAAGAGATGCATACCTGTAATCCCAGCATTCAGGAGGCTGAGGCAGGAGGATTGCTGTGAGTTCAAGGTCAGCCTCAGCTACATAGTGAGTTCAAGTCAGGCTGAACTACATAGGTAGACCCTGTCTCTTAAAAAAAAAAGCCAGGCATGGTGCACAAGCTTGTAATCCTAGCACTTGGGAGGCTGTGGCAGAATTGTGGAGTTTGGCCAGGCGTAGTGGCACACGCCTGTAATCCCAGCACTTGGGAGGCTGAGGCAGGAGGATCGTTGGGAGTTCATGACCAGCCTGGGCTACAAAGTGAGCTCCAGGCCAGCCTAAGCTGCATAGTGAGACCCTGTCTCAAAAAGACAAAAAAAAAAAAAAAAAAAAAAGAATTGCTGTTTGAGGCCAGCCCGTGCTATGTAACTAGTGGCTGTTATTACTTTATGAACAGGAGTGGGTTTCTTTCCAATGTTTAGCACTGTGCAAATTAGCAGTGGAGCCATAGTTGATTTCAGTCATATCATTTGAGTCTGTGTAGTTTGCAAATCTCAGTGCGAAGAGAGCTGAGTGTGGTTAAGTGCCTGGATGGGAGGTTGGGGACTGGAAGTCTTATCAGAAGTGGGACAGAACTTTGGGTGATGGCGATTTTGAAGAGAGGCAGGGGATGTGGGCTGAGGTGGGTGTCAGGTGTATGGTGGTCTTTCAGAATGTGACTGCCCCATTGTGGTTTTAGCCCAGTGCTTCGTTCCCTGGCACGACTGAAGCCCACTATGACCCTGGAGGAGGGACTGCCGAGGGCCGTGCAGGAGTGGGACTGCACCAGCAACTACGACCGGATGGCTTTCTATGAGATGGCAGAAAAGTGAGTCTCACTGATTCCTTCTCTGGCCCCAGAGGGGGGGGGCTATGCAGCTGAGAGTGGGAGGGGCATGAAAAGAAGGTATGTGGGTGTTTGCTAAGAGGGGGATCAGGAGGGGATAGGCTAGGCCAGGCTCCCTTAGGTCCTTGCTTTCTTCCACCACCTTGACACTCGGCTTTTCTGTCCTACTGACCCCCTCTTGTAAGCTCTCCTACTTCCAGAGGTGGAATCTACATAGGAACCTTCCCACAGAAACTGTTAGGATGGGACCAGTGCTGATACCTGTAACAGCTGTATGCTGAAGGCACCTGGCAGTGGGGAAGCCCTACGAGGCAGGTTCTTTCCTCAAGGACCAGGTAGCAAGTAGCTATTGGTGCAGAACTTCGGTACCCAGTTTCCCTTCATCCCAGGGAGGCGCTGGTTCTGGGAGACTGGTCAGCAGAAGCAGAGTGTTCTGGCTGTTACATCCATTTCTCCAGGATATACTTGGTTAAAAAAAGTAACTCTGGCCAGGCAATGGTGGCACATGCTGTAGTCCCAGCTATTCCGGAGGGCGAGGTAGAAGTACTGCTTGAGCCCAGGAGCTTAACACCAGCCTGACCAATAGAGCAAGGCTCCACCTCAAACAAAACAAAACCCAAAACCAAACAAATTCTGAGGAAAGTGAACTCCTTCCTCCAAGCTTAGCTTTCACTTTTCCCCTTGAGTCTTCTGGACACCTGCCCCTTAAGATTTATCCTTCCAGAGCCCCGTCCTGGCCTCAGGCTAGCAGTGCCTGCTGGTGGGCTCTGCTTCAGGAATCCTACCATTCTTTATGGTTGTAGACAAGGGCAGATGAGGCTTTGAAGAGGGCCCATGGTGCACCTTGTCAGGCTGTGACGGAGTTCAACAAGCCTGTACTCAGTACTGCTGTCAGTCAGTGAGGCTGGGTGAGCTAGGTATGGCAAAGTAAAGGCTATGGCTCTGTCCTGGAGAGGTTTGATCACTGATTTCCTGAGGTTTCCTGAGTGTTCCCTGTAGGTGAAGGGATGTAGTGAACACATGACTTTTCCCCAGGACTGTCATCAGGCTCCTGTGAGCGGCTACCTCCTGGAGCCTTGACTCTTGTCCACGCTTGGCTGCTGCCTGGCATCTGGGTTCCTGACAAGCTTTCCTTCTTAGTACTGCCTGTGTCTCCCTTACTATCTGCAGGTTTATGGAGTTTGAGGTGGAGGAGCTGCAGATGCAGAATGCACAGCTGATGAGTAACTCCCAGGGCCTATCTCCTTCAGCCCCTTTAAAACTTGATTCCTCAGGGCCCGTAGCCCCAGAGGTTTCCCAGCAACCAGGTAAGCCACCTGTTTCTAACAGGAGAAATGGGCCAGCAGCTTAAAGGGGGAGGCACAGGAACACCAGACCCGGGTTAGGGAAAGCCTTGCCTTTGTGTCTTCACTTGCTTTCCAGGAAGTGGCATTTGCATTCCAAGGAATGCCCCATAGGATGTTGGGCTCTCAGGTTCAGTCTCGAACTGGCTATTGCTCTTGGCCAAGTAAACTATTCTTTCATCTAGACTGTAGATGAGGTTTATAATGTCTCACGTGCCTAAGAAGCGGGAACTGGATCAGGGAGTTCCTTTGAATTTCAGGGTATGTGGAGTGATTCCCTCATAGCTCCCCTCCCCTGGGGGGGGGTATGAAATCTATGGCTGGAATTTTTTAGGATGTCTTTAATTCAGCCTGGAGCCATTTCCTTGTGCCCGGATTGCTGCCCTTACAAATAGAGTTGGGAGGTAAAGGCCAGTGCCTCTGTGCCACTTCCTGTTCCATCTCTTCCCTCAGTGTACATTATGAAGAAGGCGGTCCCCAAGACACGGGCGCCCCGCCAGAGGCAGCGCAAAGCCCAGAGGCCTCCAGTTCCGCAGGCCCCCAAGGAGATCCCACCGGAAGCTGTGGAGGAGTATATTAACATCATGGAAGGGCTGGTGGGCACTCACGTGGCTACTAGGGAGTCAGATGAAGAGGAAGAGAGGCAGTGGGCGGATGAAGAGATGTATCCAGATCCGAATCTCCTGAGCTACATGGAGGACCTGTGTTCTCAAGAAGGCTTTGTCTCTAAGGTGGGCTGAACCTGCATGGCTGCCTTCCAGCAGATACTGGGGGTGGGCACACTGGGGTGCCACCCAGGGGTGCTGCTCGAGGAAGTAGGAAGTAGGCTGCGTCCTGTAACTGAGAAATGGGTGTGCATGCATGCACACACATAGTTGGTGGCAGGCATGGTCTCTAATGAACCCTGGGGAGTAGGGATGAAGGAGTCATGGCTTCATCTCTAGAGCCCCTCAGCTCACATAGCCTCTGTTCCCCAGGTGGAGGCTGTCATCCACCCTCAATTTCTGGCAGATTTGCTGTCTCCAGAACGAGAGAGGGATCCTTTGGCCTTAACCGAAGAGCTGGAACAAGAAGAAGGACTCACTTTTGCCCAGGTAAACTTGGGAGGCAGGAATATTAGGAGCAGCAGCTCACATGACTGCCTAACCATACATTGTCTCGGATGATGTAGTTCTAGAGGAACAGCTTCAGGACCGAGCTTCAAGTGTAGGACAGTAAGGCACTACAGAAACAGGAAGTGAGGCACAAAACGGTGGGAAGAACAGCAGTGTCTGAGCCTCACTTCAGCCACTTGCTTTCCTGCACTGCCCTCCCCACCTGCTATCTCCTGCCCCCACTTTGCCCTCTCGTCTTAAAAAGCCCCATGTAGACTGGTATTTGTCCATTGTCTTCTAGCTGATCCAGAAGCGACTCATAGCCTTGGAAGAGGAGGATGCGGAGGGGCCTCCAGGTTGCAGCGGAGTTCAGTTGGACTCAAGTCCTTCTGTTTCCGATGAGGATGAAGATGGGTGTGGGTGGCCTCAGCCCTCACCTGGGCCTCAGGGGGCTGCAGGAACTGTTGGGCTTGAAAAGGCTGGTTCTTTGGGAAAGCAGGCAAGGGAGACCTATGGCAGGCAAGGGGAAGCCCTCGATAGCCCAAAGGGCATGTGCGGGGATGGGAATGTTCTCTCATCCTCCAGCAGCTGGGAACTGCAGGAAGAGCTTGTGGCTCCACAGGGAGCTCAGGGACCCCTATGTATGGAGATGATGGGGTCTGGGGAGGTTATAAGTGAGCTATCTCAGCATCAGGATAGCCTCCTGGAACATGCTAAGTCCCCTGGGCACTGCCTGATGGCTGACAGCACTCCAGCAGCTTTGCCCCTTTGCTGGCAGGAAGGCCCCCAGCTCAAGACAGCTCCCAGTTTGGATGTTGGACTTGCAGAGTCAGCTTCTCTGCAAGGTCAGGGGTTACAAAAGCCTGACCTGGGGTGGCAGGCAGGACCAGAGGCAGAGGAACTTGGAGTGCTTTCTCAAGGGATGGAGCCTTTTGTAACGCCCCAGAAAGGCTCTGCAGGAGCCATGTGGGGAGCTGAGAGAAGTCTTCCCATGGCTCAGAGTTATGATCAGAACCCTTCCCCTGGCACAGCTGGGGACAGGGACATGGACAGGGCCTGGATCAGCCCAGAACTGTGGCTGAGCAGTGACACAGATGCTGTAGGTTTGGCGTTGCCCTTAGAAATTGAACAGGTCATAAAGAGCTTCCAAGATGGAAAGTTTCTAACTGAGCACCAGGCACTGGGCTCCATAAACACCCTTTCTCTGGGTCCTGGAGGCACCACAGTGCCTGGGGACCTGGGGAGCAGTGTGATTCCCTGCGGAAACACAGATGTCCCAGCTGCTCTAGCAAAGACAAACTACTGCAGCTTGGAAGGACCTCTGAGGGCCAACAGCCCAGCCTTGGTGTATAAAGGAAATAGAGAACAAAGCCCTGAGATCATACAGGATCCCAGTAATCTGTGGGCTGAAAGTTGCTCCTTACTGCTGGAAAGCAGTGTTGGTGCCTCTGTATTAGCTTCGGAGTCTTCCAAAGAAACCCTGCTGCCCATGTGCCAAGGCAGCCTCCTTGTTCTGGGGGCCCAGGATGACTCGTTCCCTGAGGCCAGCCAAGATGCAGGGAGCAGAGGCAATCCTTTTTCTTTTCCATTAGAAACCACAGAACAATTCAACATACTAGATGTTGGAGATGAATACAGCCTCCAACTAGGGGTCAGTGAGGATACTTGCCCACCAATGCTTAATTCTTATGACCCTCAAGCGGGCAAGAAAGACACTGGTTTGTCTAAACCTAACCACCTTGTTCCTTTACAAAGAAATCAGGAGTCTTACACATTTGGGGCCCTCAAATCAACAGCTGCTCACCAGGGCTTTGGAAGCACTTCCCCTACATGGGGAACCAAGGATACTGTAGTTCTAAAAGAATCCTCTCGTAGGAGTAAAACACACAACTCTGCACAGGGGGCCAAAAGGCGGCAGAAAGCCAAAGAGGAAGGGGAGGATGAGCAACTCTCCAACTTCACTTACCTCTTGGCCTCAAAACTTAGCTTATCTCCCAAAGGACTTCCTCTTGGTTCTCACTGTGCCTTGGGAGGTGGGGGCATCCGGAGAGCACCCCACATCTCTGCTGATGCAAAAGGCCTTGGCCAACCTCCACACCCTGCCACCAAGTCTGGGAAGCAAGCTCTAGCTAGAGGTTCTGCCCCTAAAAGTACTGTTGAAAAGACATCCCAGGGAGGTCATCTTGGAGCCTCTGGGGAAAAACCTGTGGTCCAGGGAGTGCTGCCGTCCTCGCAGCCTCACAAAAGGAGGCGTGACACTTCTGCAGCAGGCAGGAGGAAGAAACATCGCCGTAGCCAGTAGGAAGCAGAGGGACCATCCTTTGCCACCCGTCCCCAAAAGGGGGTGTCCTAGCATAGCTGTGACTGCGGCTGCTCACTGGTGGAGAATCAGGCTTAGGCCAATACTATGGTTTTATGCAATGGATGGGAAGGCAGACTGGCTAGGTTGCAGGGCCCTTAGTGGGAAGTAAGGAAGGACCTTTGCAAAGAGTTGTATGCAAAAAAACAAAATAAAAGTTTTTTTTTGGTTGTTGAAAAATGCCCTTGACATGCGCTTGACATGTTTAAGCATCTTTGCAGCTAGATAGGGCAAGGTGTCATGAAAGCAGTTAGGTTCTACAGATCCCAGACCACTTTAACCTGTCTCCATGTAACATTTTCTTGGTAACAGACTGACTTTCAGGCTGTGATTGTCCCAAAACCTAAGTTTCCAATGATTAATTTTTCTCATTTTGCTCTTTATAAGCCTGGACTTGGCATTGGGAGGGCTCATCTGGATATCTATTACCATTTGCCTCCCTTTAAATTTATACATGGTAAGATGCCACATCTGTAGAACACATCTGTAGAATAGTAATCTAACTTCCTAGATACAGAACTGATTAAGTTCTGCATTTGTGTGTGGACAGAGTACTTTTAGGGGCCTTGCTATCTTCTCTGAAGACTGGAGAGAAAGGACTTAGCTTGTCCTGTGGGAAGGAAACCTTCCTGGGTGGTTTCTCTGATCTACTGCGGGGGCGGGGGGGGGGGCACTTCCTTATCGACACAGCTCTCACTCCCACCATCAGCAACGAAATCAAGTCTTGGTAGGAGTATTAAATATAGAAAGGTAATAAGCTATTTTTAAATTTCTAATGAGGGCAGAACAAGAGGGAATGGGCTGAAAAAATGGTTCATGAGGAAGTCCATTAAAATGTGCATATTTAGGAGAAGACAGAGGGGTGATGTGAAATCTGTGTACTTTCTGCACAGGAAAGAGCCCTGTTCATCTGGAAGAAGGCTCCTATAGTTATGGCCAAGAGGGCTGATGGCATTTTCTGGATCTTCCAATGGGCATCCTGCAACCATTCACCCTTTTCCTTCCCAACTAATGATACCAGTAATGTGACTGAGCTTCACTTTTTTAAATAGATATAGATTTGTATTTATATATAAAATAGTTTTTTACAAAAAAAAAAAGCCCAACCAAACAAAAAATAAGAATCAACTTAAAAAAACAAACAATGATAACAAAAACCAAACAGGAGCAGAAATGGGCTTGAGGCATAGGGTAGGCTCCTGGCGCTGCCCTGAGTTGCGGGGCTGGATTCGAGCTGAGGAGGAAGGAGCGGGAGGCTGAGGTGCTCAGTCGCCCTTCTGCTTGGGTGCCTGCACGGTGCCGTTGCCCAGAGCAGTGCGGCTGCGTGGGGATGAGCCATCTGGTACCTGGGCGGTGCCTCGAGGACTGTGTGGGGGGCGCAGGTAGGTGCTGAAGAGCTTCCCATAGAGCGGGTCATGGAGGGAGAAGTTCTGGAACTGACCTGGGCAAGTAAGAGTGAGATGCAGAAAAGCAGAAAGAAAGAGAAAGCGCCTGCTCTTTCCCATTTATCTTCTCAGATCCAGGTTTACGTCTTCTCCCTTTCCAGCCGGTTCCTCCCAGCCTTGCCTCTGAGGTTCTGATGCCCCACACTGACCAGCGCCCCCTGCTGTCTCCGCCTGGTGCTCTCTCCTCCACATTCCTGGCACTACCACCGGCCCAGCACCTGTGCAGGGCCCACGAGGCAGTAACTCACAGAGGGAGAGGCCATGGCCGGGTCCTGCCTGGCACAGCTCAGCATGCAAAGTCATGGCAGCAGGGCGGGGTGAACCCAGCAGCAGGTGCAGGATGGTGCTGAAGCCATCTTGGTACAGCAGACGGCCAGGTCCCTCTGCCTGCTCTTCAGCAAAGAGCTTTAGAAGAAAGGGATGTGAGTCAAGCTCTCCTCAGGTCACTGCCTCACCCTGCCCTACAGTTCTGCCTTGGGGGCTCCTCCCTTCAGCCCCTCGGGCCCATTCTGCAGAACAACGATAACCTTATGGCTTCTGCCCTCTTATTCTCAGCTGAGTAATGACAGACACTGGAGCTCTGCAGTTTTAGACAGCAAGACACTGGGCAGGAGGCATCAGCTATCTAGATGCTACTGGGCACAATGCACTGCACAGGCTTCCTGACGTGGTGAGCACAGCTACCAGAAAGCCCCCATCCACACTTCCCGGGTACCTCAAAGGCCAGGTGGGTCAGATCCTCCAGGCTCCTGCCTCCATCCAAAGCTGCTAGAGCAAGCGCCACATCTCGGAAGTCCACCAAACCACTGGCATCCTGGAGGATCAAAGAGAAACCAGGACAGTGCAGGGACCTGCATCCTCCCTCCTCCTCTCTGGAGTTCAGTTCCTTTCTCTCCTCTGTAAGCAGGGAATAATGTCTTCAGGTCTCAGCTCCAAACTCTGTAGACCCCCAGTAGTTCTCTCAGGTCATGGGCGCCTGCTAGATCAAGCTATGTCAAGATACCACTGACAAAGCTTTCCTATAAAGAGATCTAGGAACATAAGGGAATCCCTCAGGAATGCCAAAGTCATCAGACTTACACTGGAGGGCATTCCGGGCCCCTAAGCTAGACAAACTGGTTCTTTCCTGACTCGCTCTATGTGGGAGAACTGGTCCAACAGAATGAAAGGGGGCCGCTGGCCTAATTTCTTACCAAAAACCCCAAGCAAGATGCCTGTCGTGCCCATCTACCATGTAGGCTGAGTTAGGTAGCTCCTTTCCAGGACAGTCTGCTGCCTATTTATGGAATCCATATACCTGGTCACTCTTCAGCGTTCTTCAGAGAATGCTGAGAGCCATAGCCTATGTCTTAGATCAAAAACATCTCCTTAGGGTGCTGGGCACATAGTGCAGAGGCAGAGCACTTGCCTAGCATGTGTGATGCCCTGGGCTTGATCCTAGTACTATAAACAAAATTAAAATCAAAATCAAAACCATAACCAACACCTCCTTGGGACCACCATTTGCTGTTCATAAACATTAGGAATTGTCTAAGCTGGACATGGTGGCACATGCCTATAATACTAGCACTCAGAAGGCTGAGGCAGGAGGACTGCTGTGAATTGAAGGCCAGTCTGGACGACACAGTGACTTCAAGGTCAGCGTGGAATACATAGCGAGACCCTGTCTCAAAAAACCAAAACAAAAAAAACCCCACAAAAACAAAAACAAACAACAATATATGTATGTAATTTGATAGGAAAACATGGTTATAGCCCAGAAAACACTTTGCTGAGATTGAGACAGTTCAGAAATCTCTCATTAATTTACCAGGTATTTTAAAAAGCTGCCAAGTTGTGCAAATACTTCTGGGTCTCAAACTCACCATCTCATCAGTTCAGCACTGTCTTTTCCATGTTACTCTCCCACCTAATCTTCAAGACTCTTCTTCAAAGATCCTTACTGAGTGCCCCACATGGTTGTGATTCCCCATCTTTGCCAATCTCTAAAAGGGCTACAGAAATTGATGGACCTCACTGATTATTTGTCCCTTAAAACAGCGACCTTCAATGATTGGGTACCCAACGAAAACAGAATCTTCTAGTGGATCTCAGAAGACGGTCACCTATCCACACTAGTTGAATGAGACTGACATGTTCACCAGGATATTAACCCCCACCTGGAGCACGTCAATCCGGAGATCAAGCTCTGGGTCTGCTCCTTTACCTGCTGGAAGTAGCTGAAGGCACCAGCCACTGTCTGAGGGTCCAAGAGCTGTAGCTGCCTAGCAAACTCCTCCTGGCTGATCATTCGACTCCGGCCTGGTTCTGCCCCAGTGTCCACACAGCCAGGGGACAACCTAAAATGAAATTGTTGAAGACAGGGAGCTAACTCAGTTTCTTTCTAGACATGCCATGCAGAAGGACCTTGGATCTGGCACCAAACACTGTCCCAGCACAAGTTCTTTCTGGTGGTTCTGGGGATTGAACCCAGGGCCCTGTGCATGCTAAGCGAGTGCTTCACCACCGAGCGCTTCACCACCGAGCAACAGCCCCAGCCCCTCAACTGCTGTTTTTCTAAGATGTACTGACTCACAGTCCCTTGAGAGCCCCTTTTACTTTTCTCATCTGATTATACATCTTCTGCTCCTTCTTCCCTTTCCTTTTATGCAATTATCTTTTCTAAGGGCTCCTCTCTCTATATATGTTTTTTGCTTTTTAAGACCTCCCCCGTTTCTCCCCTTCTTTTCTTTTTCTCTTAGTGTCACTGCCTGAACGCTCATCTTCAGGGCTACTTACCCAGCCTTCCGAAGCACCTTTCCCAGTTCCCAGAGCTGCGGCTCCAAAGCTACCTTCAGCCGGCCAACCACAATGACAGGCAGGCTCCCTACAAACTCACATTCAGTGGCTGGAATGCCCAAGGCCCTGAGGATGGAGTGATGGAGGAAGGAAGCAAAAGAAACTCTGAGGGTTCATTACACTCTGGCTTACTGTAGGTTTTTTTGTTTGTTTGTTTGTTTGTTTTTGAGACAGTCTTGCCATGTAGTTCAGGCTGGCGTTCAACTCACTATGTAGCCCAGGATGACCTCAAACTTGTGGCAATCCTCTCACCTCAGCTTCCTGAGGGTTGGGATTAAAGGCCTGTGCCACCACACCCAGTCCTGTCAGCCTTATCTGCCTGAAAGCCTCACCCCTCCACCCCCTCTTTGTGGTTCCTCTGCCTGTGTGTCTGCTCCAGGAAGCACTCTGTGGAACACTCACTGTGCCATGACCTGCTGGACATTGTTGGCATACAGGGTGGGGTCCCTGCTCTCCTCAGGGCTGGGCTGATACACAGGGAGGAACTGAAACACAGGTACATACAGTGCTCAGCGGGACCTCCAGGGGAGAAGTGCTCCTGCCACTCCTCCCTCAAGACTCGGAGGGTCTGTGCGGCCCACCTCCCACAGCACCCATGTGGCCGTACCTCCACATCCACGATGCTGCAGGGCTGTGACGCCGTGAGCCAGAGCACTTTGAGCCTAAGAAGGAAGAGACCTCGATGCCTGGAGCTCTCCTCTTCCCCTGAGGAGGGAGGGAGGGGCTGCGCAGTGACACACAAACACACTCCTAGCCAGGCAGCTGTGGCAGTGTGCAGCTGCGAGACGAGGGAGGTGGGGGTGAAGAGCTGGGGGGCTATGCCAGAGGGAGAACTGCAGGGAGGGGAGGTTTGGGAAATACAGGGAAAAATTAAGCGCACACCTGCTGAGGTGGCTTTCCAGAGGGGACAGAGGAGAGAGAAAATTACTTAGAAACACAGGAAAGTAAGCCAGGAGCCGTTATTGCAGCAGGAATGATTCAGGTGGAACAAGTGAAAGCCCAGCCAATTACATAGGGAGGAAAATGGGCATCTCTAAAGTTCCTGGTCCCAGAATAAAGAAGGACCATTCACTTCAGCTGGAGGCTTCAATGGGCCAGGAATTCCCGATGGACCCCACTACCCACCCTACCCCAAGAATAACGGAACTCACACTCCAGGGCCCCTCCAGGCCCAGCTGGTGGTGTCCTATGAATGAAGCAAAGATGGGGGCAAAGAAAAACATCACTTTTCTTTGCAGGAACTGGCCAATCCTCTTTGAGCAGAGGCCTTGACCCTGCCTTCTGCCCGCCCCCCCCCCATGCACAGCCCAGAGCCCCCCATCCAACCCGTTTTACTCCCATTTAGGATGGACTCATGCTCCCCCTTACCCCCTTTTTTGGACTCACCAGACTATTAGGGTAGCGGATAAGGACAGGCTGTACAGGTACCCCTGCAATGAAGGCTCCTAAACCCCATTCCCACCCCCAACCCCGGGAGCACAGGTTAGTACATGTCGGTAGCTTGGAAAGGTATTGGGTCTCAGAGATTCTCACATGACAGCTGACCTTGCTCTACTCACTTCTGATTTTCTCTCTGATTCATCTTGTCAGCATGAACTAGGTTCCCTATCTCCTTTTCTCTCATGATACCCCAACCCTTCTATTTCATGGGTTATTCTTCCCCAAACCTCCTTGGGTTATTTCTCCCTAAAACTAGGGCCCATTTTTCCCACCGTCTTACCACCCTCTATCATTTTATTCACCTGGTTTGAACTTCAGCAGAGCCTTCTTGTTAGAACAGGTGCCTTCAGGAAAGAACAGCACCTGGGGGAACATCCCCAAAAAAGCAGAATGAGGTAGGGGAAAAGGGAAGCTTCAAAGGCGTGCACAGGTGAAATGAGCAGAGGATCTTTCGACTATTACTCACCTGGGGCCACTTGCCTCCTGAGGTGGCCCGCCTTCGGACCTCTTCCACCACTCTGCGACGGGAAGCTGGGTCATGCCGGGACACCAGGATGGCTTGGTTGAACCGAAGAAGGGCTGGGGTGGGAAAGGATACAAGGAGGAATCACTGGTTCCTACCCAGGGGCAGTAACATCTGCAATCACCACTTCCTCAACAGCGTAAGGTAGAGCATTTCTTCTCTCTGCCCTGGTGACAATCTCTTTATTCTGCCTTGTCCTTCCTGAGAACTGCTGAGTTCTCCTTTGAACACCTTCTCTCTGCCCCAGCCCTCTGAGTCTGAGATCGGTTGACTCAGGTGTTAATTTACATTTCATCTGCCAAGAGTCAACATCCCTTGTAACTTCTCCCATACCCCATGAAGCCAGTTCTCTCGCCTATTGGTATCTCAATTCCCTCTTTTCTAAAAAGTAATGCTTTTCTTTTTTTCGGTACCGGGAAGTGAACTCAGGACCTTGCACTTGCCAGCCAGGCGCCTGTGCTGCTGGGCTATATCCCCGGCCCTCGATTCCCTTTTTTCTAAGTCGTCATGGCCCTCCTCACCCTGTTCAGCTCTCTCACCTCCAATGACGGGCACAGAAAGGTTCTCGGCTCGGGAGACAACCTTAGGCAGGTCACAGGGCAGCAGCACAATGGGGTCAAAGAAAGTAGAGTGGGGGGCAGCAACAAGGACAGGGGCCTGAAGGCGAGAGGCCCGTTGGCCCCGAACCCGGATCCGGAGGAAGCCCAGGAAGAAAAAGAGCAGGCGGCTCAGGCCCAGCACCCCATTGTGGCACACAGTCCTGTCAGGGCAAGGCCAGTGATCAGTGGAAGCAGCAGCTGACCCTCACTCACCCCTGCTCAGGCACCAGGGAAGATGAGACACCCCTCTCTCTGACACAGGGCTGGAGCTATGACATAACCTCTGGGTACCAGATCTGGGCCAGGCTGACTCAGCGCACCCACCCAAGCTCTGCAGGATGGTTTCAAAAATCTCTCTTCCTCTCTGAGGGGTAGCAGAATAGTTAGGAAGGGAGAGAAGTGGGGTCTCCAAGGCTGACTTGCCACTTACTTCCTCCATCCTGTAACTGGTTCCTGAAGCTGCTCCTCAGTAAGACCTGCTACTTGTAGCCAGGCAAAGGGCCAGAGGAGAAAAAGGATGATAAAGGCCAGAAGCACTCGGATGGGGGCCAGCAGTACCCCCAGGAGGCAGAACTGCAGAAGGTGGGAGAAAATATCACTTAGGGCTGGGAGAGGCTCAGCCCACAGCACCCCTTCTTCCTCAAGACTGAACCCTGGAGCACAGCCCTTCCTCTCTGTAGGTGACAGTGTGGGAACAGAAGAAGGGACTGGGACCCAAGCAGGACGGAAGACAGCAGCGAGGGCAAGAGAATACAGATTAATAGCACAAGCACCTCATTTTCCCGTCTTTGATTGGTTCCCACCCTACCTATAAAGTTGAATGTCATAAGACGCATCTAGCATTTGTAAAGGTTGTTAAGAGAAGTTAATGAGAAAATGCATGTTAACGTGCCCAGCACTGCGCTTGATGTAAAGCAGGCTGAGATGGGGTCCTCCTCCCCCACATCCCATTCCATAAATAGCTCCTATGTCTCGCAGATGCCAGGTGCATAGCTCTCCCACTCTGGGCCGGGAGGCAGAGGGCTGAAAGCACTGAAGACACCCACTCTCCAGGCCTCGGGTCAGTCGCTAGTACCACCCAACAGCATGGGGGAGCGGCTCCGCGCACTCTGCACCACAGAGGTTGCCAGGAGCCAGGGTGACTCCATACCCAGGCTGCTCTAGGGAGCGAGCAGGTAAACAGATCCAGCCCCGAGAGCCTGCCTCGGGGGAGGCGATAACAGCAGAAACCTTGGACACTTCCTCCCCACGCCACCTTTCCGTCCCCGAGGCTGCTGGTGCGGCCCTCCACTTCCTGTAGCCAACCTCCTCCAGCCCCCTGCCCCTACCCGGAGGAGCTGCAATGCGGGGCGGTGGAGCGAGGGATGTAGGAAGGGCGCAGGGACGCAGACACGTCCTCCAGGTCAGAGCCGGGAGGGTGACCAGCGCGCCCCCGCCCCAACCCCCGCTGCGCGAGGCTTGCAACTCCATCCTAGCTCCGCAGCCCCTGCAGGATGCCATCCGCATTCTCCAGCGTCCTCCACCCGTCCTGCCCCGGGTTCCCCGCACATCCCCAGCTTCGCCCCCTCCACTCCTCCCCCGCTTGGAGCCGCTCGGCCGCCCTGGCCCGCGTTCTCCCCAGGGCTCCTCGCCCGCCTCGGCCGCCCCCGCATGCACACCCGAGCGCCGCCCGCCCCTCGGCAGCTCCTTCCCGGTACCCGGGCCCATCACTGCCGGGGCTCCCCGCA